TTCTGCTGGAATGATAACGGTACATCTGTCTTCTTCATTACACCATCATTGTTTCTCTTTTTACCTCGTTCTCTAAATTGAAAACTTAAGACATATAACTTCATAGTCTGTCGGGTCACACAAAGTATTATCTTTTCATCGATGGTGGGTTCTTTCTATTTTACGGTACTAAATCAATTGTCTGACAACAAACAGTTGGGTTGGATTCCATGGAGATGGTAGTAAGAAAGGGATGAAATCATCATGATTAATTAGACATTTGGTAATTGATTTCGGATTTTGAATCAGTGTTTGGGGTTCACTGATTTACAGTCTCAAATCGGAAGCTAAAAGACAAGAGCATAAGAAAATAACAAAGTGCTAACTTTTTTGTATCGAATAAGCAAAAGACCACAGAGGATAGAATCTTGTCAACAATTCTGAACGATTAGGTGAACGTTCAGCAGATCATTGAATTTCTAAATTGTTTGTTAAATTTGCCTACATACCATTAAATAACGTTCTGAAAGTCTGTTATTTAAAATACGAGTAAAATTAAAATCAATTACATCTTGGTACTGTCTCCATCTAAATTAAAGGTGTACAAAACATGATAAAAGACAAGCTTGGACCTCTTTCTTACTGGGCTGGTCCTAAATCATCTTGTATTCGGTCCATATGGTCGAAAAGTGTCTTATTTGGATCATATGGAATCAACCGTCCTTGTCATTTTTCTCTTTTTCTTTTTAATTCAGGTTCAAATGAAATTCATAAATATTTTAAAAATCAAGGAATCGCCTATTTAATGTATCATTCATAACGAAAAGAAAATTATGGTTTTCATCCTTGTGGTTTCAAATTTTTGGGTTTCATTCTTATGATTTGTAATTCATTTATATTTTCGTCCATGAGGCCAAAACACTACTTTTAAATATGAATAACTAAAATAGAAATGAATTGTAAATCATAGAGACGAAAAAATCAATAAATTTTAAATCATAAAGATGAAAAATGTAATGAATTATAAACCATAGGGATGAAAATTACAATTTCAAAACCACAAGGACGAAAATAGAAATTTTCAACAAACCACAAGGACTAACAAGGTAATTTACTCTAACATTTATGTTTTTTCATATTTATTTACTATAAGTAATACATGAAACAGGTAGCTACTCGATTTTAAACATATTAATGATTATTATTTGAACTTCCGTTTTTTAATAGAAGTTATTTCATAAATTCTTTTTATATAACGTTTAACTCGATTTATTCGTTGAAATCAATACACATAACATAAAATATACAGATATAAAAGGTGAATTATGGATTTGATTTATGTGATATATTGAAAATTATGGACGTGATGTTTAAATTTCATCTATTACATAATATGTCTTCACGTATGCAGTTTGTATCGGATTTGGTCCATCACTTAACATCCATCTACCGTCTCCGTTCAAGTTAAGGGTATTTTTGTCTTTTTACCTTTTTTCCAGTTTAGCGTTACCCGTTTAAAAAAGATTCTGTTTTTTATTTCGCTTGTGTATTCATGTTCTTCCTCAAATGAGAAGCTAAACCATAATACTAAACCAAAAGTAACACCACCAGCATCCAAATAATCGGGGAGGATCGTTGGAATTTGGAAATAGTAAATGATAATATTAAGAAGACAGAAGGAAAAAGGGCATGGATAAGACATTACTATGTAACGTTCAAACCCATCAAAGTAGAACACTAGACGAGAATAGATCTATCAGAGTTGGCTGTTGGATCCAAATCAAGCCGCAAGGAAGAAGAGCAAGACCAAGTACGTGGACCCAAACTCGAAGAAGGAAAAACCGAACACTCAAGGGTAACCGACCCGATAGGAATCTAGGATATAATATGCATACATATACATATAGAAAAATAATTAAAAATTAAAATATATTATTATTTATTTATTAAAGTAAAGCTGGAAGAACAAGTCTTTTACATTTTATTCTCCCCAACCAGATAACAAAGCCCAATAGTGAGCCCATTGAGGCATTGACCAACGAGTCAACGACCATTGGTATAAATAATGGCTATTATAATATTATATTAATGAAAGTTTAATCTATACTATATTATAAAGTATTTAACAAAAACTTTTAAAAACCATTTTTTATGCATGAACTATTGTTTATTGATGCATATTACTTAAAATTCAAGATTACAAGTAAATTATGCGTAAGTACAACTTATTAAAGTTTCATGTTTGAATTCGTGTAACTAACTGTAGATAAACATAATCAAAAAGAGAATAAACATCTAATTTTAAATATAAAAAATATAAAATATAATTAATTAATATAATCATTGAGTTATAACAAAATACTTTATTATTATCTTTATAAAAAGTTATATGATTAAAGACAAAATGAATTAAAGAAATATACAGAGAAAAGATAAATTTTAAATAGTTAGTTTGGTACCAATATCAATATTTTTTTTTAATTTTTCATGGTATATTTTCATATTTATATATATTTTTTAAATAAAATCATTATCGTTTTCTCAAAATAACATAAAACCGTATTATAACATCGACTGAGACAAAAAAATAAAAAAAATATTAAAATTGAGATTTATCTCGTTGTATTGTGCGAGTACTTTTTTAGTTTAAATAAAAATATAAAAAATTGTTTTACAGTAATTATCATTTATTTAATTGTTATTAAGATATAGGATTATTTTATATTGATGAAGATGCACGTCCCTACTTCCTACAATTATTTGGATATATAATTTAATCATTATATAAATTAAAAATGAATTCTAAGTCACTGTTTAGTTTATTAAATATATCTCAAACTATTATTTTATCCCAAAGCATTTTCTTTTAAATTTTTAAGAAAAATTAAATATGGTTTTTGATCGTCTTTTAAGAATTATATCACATGGAAGATTTAGATCCAAATTAAAAAATAAAAAAAATATTTGATTTTCATTATATTGTTGACTCTCATCAGCCTAATAATTATTGTAGGGACAGCAGAAGTGGGTACGTAGTTGCATACAGCGTGAAAAATAGAAATTAATTATTGTTTGAGAATTAAAAAGTGTAAATTACATAGAAAAATAAGACACTTTTACATAATTTTTATTTGGAAAAAGTCTAAAAAAACTCAATCGACTTTAATGTTTGGAATGATTAAGTTCTTCGATAATTTTTTGTAACAAATAAGTCTTTGGACATTCCAAAACATGTTAAGTAACTCTTTGGACAATTTTTTGAAACAAATAAGTTCTTGAACAATTTAAAACATGTTAAATAACTCATTGGACAATTTTTGGAACAAATAAGTCATTGGACGATCCAAAACATGTTAAATAACTCCTTGGACTTTTCTAAAACCTGTTAGATACATTCTTATGACTTGTACAACTAGTTAAAGTGGTAAAATAATGAAAAAATCCAAAAAAACCCAATGAATATATATTCATATTTTGAACGATAAAGTCTCTAAATATTTTTTGAACAAAAAAGTATTTAAATCTATAAAATTAAACAAATATAACAAAAAGTACTTATATTTACAAAAAAATAATTACATTTAATTTTTTTTGATAAAATTTATTTTAATTAAAA